TTGTCTGTATAAAACAATTTAAAACCTAAATCAATTTGAATATGTTGATATTTAGCCTTTTCTAAACGTGGTAAAATGTTCAAAATATTTTGAAAATATTTTTGAAATGTTTTAGATATTTTACATTTTCTAGTTTCAAATTTTAGAAAACTAACGTATGTTATTATGCTATTAATACGATATTTCATATTATTTATTGATTATAAATGTTTTTCCGTTAAAACTATACTATTTACAGTGTAAACACAATTCAAAGTGTGTTACTAAAACGCGATGCCGTCATTAAGCAGTTTCAAAAATATACGCAAATAATGGCGACAAATTATTCTGGTGTCATGTGAGTGTGTGTGTGTGAGTATGTGCACTTCAGTATTTATAAAAAAGAAACTTAAGCCCGAAAAATTTATCAATATTACGTACGAGTAGGTGTATATGGTTTCACATCGCGCCAACGAAATTATGTCTTTTATGTCTTGTAACTATCTCCTTATCGCCGTTTGTTGTCTCCGTGCGGCACTGCTGGCTTCCGGGTGCAAAATTACTGATATTGATAGTATCAAGACTTTTGAACCCGGATATGCTGATGGAAAATGGCTTTGGGGCTTGAAGGAATACATAAACAGTTACGGAGCATACGAAAAAGCAATCAAGAAAATCGATGACGTTTCGAATATTCCAAAATGGGAACAAGTGGAATCTAACCAAAGATATTTAATACCGGAAAAGATTTCGGTTGGAATTGTACAGTGTCATGTTTACTCAGTGCACGCGCAGTGTTCGGCAGCGGTGTGGGCTAATATCAGTTTGAATATCATGTTCAAAATAATAGCCCACTTAAGGGTGATTAAAAATGATAAAACAAAAAGCCAGTTATTAGTAAATTGGACACAAAATATGACAAGATTTTCAGAAATATTGACAATTTACCTACTTAATCTGTCAGCCATATTATTTGACATAGGCTACGCACCACCAATATGGGTGGCCATGGTCCTCATATTTTGCGATGACATAAAATACAAAATTGAAAGTACATCCTTATTAGAAGAAGAAAATGGTTATTTAAATCAAACGGCTCAACAAATAACGGAATATATAGAAGACTTTTTGAAACTCTGCAAAAATGAGAATATTCCTGGACTAGTTCTCAGAAGTACAAATTTAACTAACGATTTTAATTTAGTGAGTTCAAAACTTAACGATATTCGCAATAAGTATGAGTCACGAAAAGACATCTTAGCCTTCAATGAAGTTTTAAGGAATAAATTTCGAGTTCAAAATTGGTTCTTTTTAACACCTACCAGTGCACCAACTGAAAAACCTCATAATATTAGGGACTTGTTGACTAGGGATAATTGGAAGTACCTTGGTATCGATTGGAACAATGAGAAAAATAGTCTAAGTAAAAGAAATATCAAAGAATTTGAGGAATTTAAGGTGAAAAATAAAAATTGGAAGATAGATACGTTCTTGAACACTTACTCGACTATTAACGGCTCCGTGAATCAAATTAGAATGATCTACCTGACCGTGGTAATCAGGTTCGTGCTAATCAACATCTCAGATTGTGACTATCTGCGGCAGCAAATAGAAAAAAACCGTAAAATAATTTCCATAAAACCGGCTGATATTCATTCAAAGTTCAGGAAATATTGTGCTAGTATCCTGAATAATGTGCAAACAGCAATCGATTACTTAGCAGGCAATGAATTCTTGGAGAACTTGGTGCCAGAACTGGATACGTTTATTAATGACTTTGGCGAAAACGGTTCGAATATTGTGCTGGGGGTGTTTGCCGAGTTGAACAAAATGTCCGAGCTGTTGAAGGTGAACGCTTCTGGTTACCATAAAACAAATGACAAGGCAATGATCCCTTGGGATGAAATTGACATCAACTTTAAGGATGAAGCGAACAGAATCAATGATGCAAGTACTTATACGTTAGAACTTCAGAAGAATGTTCCTTCGTTAAATTTCGAAATCGCTAAGACTATGGAGGTTTCCGCCAACAACACTTGGATAACTGCACTACCTTAACTCAAACTGTATAATCTCAAACAGCAATCCATAAAACACGATATTATTTTATTAAACCGCAAAACTGTTCTATGACCGTAAGCAATTTTTGTCCTTCTTTTATATAAAACTATATTATAATATTTAATTTTCATTACTTTTTTAAAAAGAAGAAAAAAAATTGTATGGGTTGAATAGTTTAATTTAATGAAATTTGATATACCTACCTATATGTATTGTCGTTATATGGTGCCTATAAGGTTTTAAAAATGTTGTCACAATTTTTTTAATGATAATTAATTGTTAAAGTGTTATTTAAGAATAAAAATTTTGCACTGATTTTTACGATTGAATTTTTCCATGAATTTAATGATGCCTTCACTTAAGGGTTCTTAACCGGTAGTTAACTGAACACCAGTGATCCGTGGGCTTGTCATTATACAGGTCCACAGAGCCAAAGGTTTTAAACAAATTAATAAAAAAAATGACATTTAGTGTAATATAAGATCATATACTGAGCAATAGCACATATTTAACTACCGGAAATCGTTATTATAATAATAGCGAAAATAAAAATAGTTTCAAAATAATCAGGCCCGGCCGAATGCGGTAACTTATACGATAATTTATTGGGGGTGGCGAAATTTAGCTTTAAGGTGTAAAAAATTATACAAAATATACTGTGGTAAGGTTGCTAACATTGAAAGGGCGTCTATAAATTTAGATATATTTACCTAGGACGTCAAAATTCTTTTGACCGGTCCTGAAAATAATCTATCATGCATAGTAGCAAAACTTACACATAAATTACAAATTATTATACTTAAAGTTAAAAAAATTCAAATAAGTTCGTTACAATCTGATTGTATAGTTTTTGAATCTACGTAAAAAATATAAAAAATTATCATTATATTGAAACTCTAATTATATTCTTAAATAAGGAAATACAATTTTAACTAATATCAAACAATTATGGAATTACATTAAANATTTATACCTTAATAAGAGTATACTAAAAATTATCGATACAAAAAAAGTAAAAGTTTAAACAATATTACTAAAATAATATAATATAAAATAAATACCAATGTATCGGATAGAGTGATCTCATTAATTGACCGTTATCATCTTCAAAAACATTTCTACATTAAAAACGAATACCTACAATATTAAATTCGGTACATACATTTCGGGGGACGCACTTGGATTTTCGCGGAACACGCTTCGTGTCGGGAGACACGCTTTTCTGGGTCTAGAGCTGATTGTTATGTCCGTTACGATCGCGAATCACGAATTGAGATCGAATTAGAATCCAGAACGGATTATGTTTCATCAACGTTACACCGTCCGTGATTATTGGGCGTCTAGTTTTTCTATATTATTAAGTTCTATTAGGAGGACATTTATTAATGAACTACATAATACTCCATTAATGTTTACTAACCCTTGGGTTTGTGGAGAGTAACGAAAAAGTTAGTTTTATATCCATATTTTAGCATATATCGTTTTCTAACTTATTTCGGAAATTAGTGCCCCTATTATGGGAAAAGTTCGTAAAGCTTCGTATTGTGATACAATCTCTATTATAAATTGTAAAAAGTTGTATAAGCAATGACTGACTCATCTGCTTTAGTAAATATTTATTTGGTTGTATTACAGGTGGCTACTAATAAGGAATTTAGATTCTGAGCGAAGCGAGGAACATATTGGCTTTAAAATAATGTTTATATATTATATATATTTTTTAAATTCTACTAGAAATCTTGTTCCGTTTTTTTAATTTCTGAGCTTTAAAAGAATTTTAATTTTTGGCAGTATTTTTGCTGTAATTCGGTTATAAATACACGAAGAGACTTGAAACTTTGTAATAATACTTATATTGAACTTACCTAGACGTGGCCAAATTCCCAAAATCATCGGATGACTTTTTTTTTAATAAATGTTTTAAAATCAAATTTAAACGAAAATTGCAAAAAAAAATTAGAGCACTTCAAATTATGTATTACCGAACTGCACTCGGTATCGTCAAGCAATAGTTTATCGTTCTATTATAATTTAGAAATTGGTCTATAGTTAATAATATTACTTTTATCGCCACTTTTATATATAGGAGAACTATATACGATTTTGTTCAATACATTGAAAACTATTTGTCCCGTGTCCAGCGTTTCCAGTGCCAATTTTTTATTTTTTTTTACCTTAATTCTCGTATTGATTTGCCAGTATCAGTACAGCAAACGAAAAAAAAATAGGTTGATTAGTCCGGTGGACTAACTGTGTTCTAGTGTCATAATTTTTTTCATCCATGTTACCATAGATACTTGCACAGACACAGTACATTATAACACGTTATTATATTAAATTATATACACTATAATAACGCTAAAATTATGTGGACATAATAATATACTCTAGTGTTATTAGTGTACCAGCAAATACAAAGATTCAAAGATAACGATTTACGTGTTTTTATTTTTCACTTACCCGCCCAGTACAGCACATAGTTTTGAGTATTTTGCTAGATAAAAGTGTAAATAATAATAATAATATTTTTCTTATCCATGATAACCAAATTATCGTCCATATAACCAGGGTAACCCACGAATAAACCAAAAATACCTAAAAACCTAATTATTGCAATTTTTGTAGGGATTCCTTTTTTTTTTTTTGTTGGCAATAAATATAGCCCATGTTATTCAGTGATAATACAGCATTCTAATGGTGAAACAATTTTTGAAATCAGTCCAGTAGTTTTTGAGTTTATTCGTTACAAACATACACATCTTTCCTCTTTATAATATAATAGTGTATACCTCCTAGTATAGATGAATCCGCTGACAAAGATAAATTAAATAGTTTAAACAGTGGTTTGCTAATGAAATTCTTACATTCCTTTAAGATACCAGTGGTAGCACACCATCAGGACACACACTACTATAAACGTAAAGTGTATGTAAAGCTTTGTTAATTTCATCTTCAATAATATTCCACGAAAATAGATTTAGGTCAGAATTTATATCTAGAGTGTCATAATTTGTAATCACATTAGTATTTGAGGTAGAAGGTAAATAAGTATACACTGGAAAAAAAAAATGAAGAAAATAATTGAGCGGACTCATCGAATCTACTGGCGGCAATAATATTATTATACGACATATTTTCAAGAATAGGAGATTTATTAAATTAAGGCTGTTTTATATAATTCCAAAATTGTTTGATATTAGNTGAAATTCTTACATTCCTTTAAGATACCAGTGGTAGCACACCGTCAGAACCCACACTACTATAAACGTTAAGTGTATGTAAAGCTTTGTTAATTTCATCTTCAATAATATTCCACGAAAATAGATTTAGGTTAGAATTTATATCTTGAGTGTCATAATTTGTAATCACATTAGTTTTTAAGGTAGAAGGTAAGTATACACTGGAAAAAAAAAATGAAGAAAATAATTGAGCGGACTCATCGAATCTGCTGGCGGCAATAATATTATTATACGACATATTTTCAGGAATAGGAGATTTATTAAATTAAGGCTGTTTAATGTAATTCCATAATTGTTTGATATTAGTTAAAATTGTATTTCTTTATTTAAGAATATAATTAGAGTTTCAATATAATGATAATTTTTTATATTTTTTACGTAGATTCAAAAACTATACAATCAGATTGTAACGAACTTATTTGAATTTTTTTAACTTTAAGTATAATAATTTGTAATTTATGTGTAAGTTTTGCTACTATGCATGATAGATTATTTTCAGGACCGGTCAAAATAGTTTTGACGCCCTAGGTAAATGTACCTATATTTATAGACGCCCTTTCAATGTTAGCAACTTTACCACAGTATATTCAAATTAAGTAAAAAGTAAAACTTTTCAATAAAGAATGAACGTTGTTGTGTTAATAAATTATGTACTACGAACCCGGGTGTCGAATAACAGATGAATATTAATATTAATACTTGTACAATACTATTGTAGATACCATTGATATAATAATACTTTAGTGTGACGTATTATGTATAAATATCCATAGGCAACTTAACTATCAAAAGACTGTTCTGTACCGTATTTCACTATTGCTTTTCTGTTAGTATTTTGTTGATAACACAATTGAATTTGTCATCAAACTATTAACAATTTTGATTTTTGATAAAAAAAAAAAATTGTCTCAATTACGAGTTGTATGCTTACTTACCTATTTAATATTTTATGAAATTGAATTTATACAAAAAAAAATATTTCGTTTGCCCTTATATCGCGTACCCGTACTTGTAGGAGAATGTAGTATTGGAACGTTAATGAAAATCAAAAGATAATTAAGGAACTGAGTTCGCATATATCTCCACTCCCCCATCAATTCGAGCACTGCTTACCTATATTATGGACTTTTATGCATTTATATCCTATATATTATAATATATAATCTACACTTAAGTCAATAGAATTGAATAAAAGTTAAAACCTTAGATCATATTATATATTTGCAATAACGAATATGATAAAGTCTGTTACCAAATTGTGTATTTTCTTATCTAAATGTAAATTAATGATAAAAATATCACATTTTGATTCTATTCGGTTCTCTGTCCTTAGACGCTTTTTAATATTGAGCAATTATTGCAAAAGCCATAATTCATGAAGGCTAGATTATATTAGTATAAATAAATATTTTTTGAAATATACACAACATATGTACATGTATGAATGCGTAATTTTACAAACTATAAAATTTGTAATGGGTCACGGTTCGAAATAATGCATATATTTTCTAAAAAACGCAAAAAAACATTAATAGGTACTACCCCACATAGCAATGTATAGTTATAGAATATTCCTCAAAAATACCATATATACAACACATATCTGGACACTTCAGATGATATGTTTAAAATATACAAAATTGAATACAGCTCGAAGAATATGACTATATTATTCTGTGTATATGATTAATAAACATATCCATATATATTAATTATATATATTATTATATAGTATTAGTATTACAGGCATAGGTATTTAATGTGCTAATTAGCATTTGTATTGAATATTCGGTGGATAATATACAGTAGTGTATTTGGGGGTACACGGGCGTATACGGCCGTATCTACCGTATATCCTATATGGCAATTGGCAATTATAAATACCTATTATATATTTATAAAAATGATTGTAAAATAAATTTTGATAAGCACGAATTGTAATACAGGACGTGACACGAAGATTTATTTTTTTTATGAAAAAATATTATCACTTAAAAATTAAGATTTGTTATCGGTCTTGTTATCAAGCATTCATAATCAAATTATCCATAAAGTAAATTTGTTGTTGGGAGGACTTCGGTCGACCGAACCCCACTATCATTTCTCATAATATTTAATATAATTTTGTATTCTTATTGTAATAACTCGTTAGGCGATGAATGATGATAATTTTATACTTAATATTTTACTAATATATTTCGTACATTTTCCTGATTTTTCTCAATTTTTTTCAGTTTTTCACATTTGATGAGAAAACTCCTGAGAAAATCGAAAAATGATTTCCTTTCAGAAAAAATGCTATCATTATAAATCGAAGCAAGATTTCTGGTAGAAAAGTCATGCATAGATAAAAAAAATAAATAAATAAATATGTTTGTAAAACCATACGCTTCTTTGCTCCACTCATAATTTAAAGATAATTGTTCGAGCGAAATGAGAAACATTTTTTTGGCCCCTACCTTCAGATCTCCGTGTACCTCTATTTACGTGAATAAGGCGTATACCCACGGTTTATTTTAGCAATACATCACTGATAATATACATATAATATTACTAAATGATTATAATCTATTAAGTATATTCAGTACACATATTGAATGAACAAATCGCAAATATATTTCACTTGAATAATTAAAAGTACCCGTACGCGGGTGAAAATAGTAACCCTAGCATACGCAGTGCAGCCTATGGCCGTTTAACCGTGCGACTCATTTCAGGACATTATCACAAGCGGAGTTTGGTCTCCTTGTTTTAGTCTTCACGGCTATATCCATAATAATATACGATCTAGTGCCGGTAGCACACATTGAATGTGTATGAGGGTGAGTACTATCGGCGAGACTTCAGATAAGGCGAAAAAGCACGAATGCATGCTGCAGTACACTCTCGGCTTACAGGCATTCACATTTTTGTGTCCAGTACTCAATATGCGAGAATATTCAAGAATGTACGAGTGCGTACTAAATGCTCTCATGCTTGCTTCTCGACTGGCCTGGTCCTCGTGCACGAAAAACCCCCTCCAAACCGAGTGCTTTCGAGGCGAGACGAGATGACACGAGCGCATCAATTTCATTCACGCGTTCGGTTTGGTTACGCGGTATCTCGGCGAATGTGTACTGGTGGTTATAAAGCCGTGTTCACACGGAGTCGTGAACTGGGCGAGAGCACTACTACTAGACCAGCTAGTTGTTATCACTGCCTAGTGTGAACTGGTGGTCGTAGTAGTGAGAGTCGTCAACGACAAAAAATAGATTGGTCGTGATTACTCCGGCATGTTGGAGTGAACACGACCTACGAAATTTGAAGTTTGTTGCGTACATACACGTATTTTTTTTTTTTATATTTTTTACGAGTGAAATAATGAAATTTATTATTATTATTAATTCAATAAATAAATACATTTTATTTTTATATAATAATAATATTTCCTACGTTAACGTAATGTCAGTTTACAATATGAATGTAACACAAACAATTCAATTTGTGATGCGGAATGTTTGTGGAAAATAAAATGGGTATCGATGGTTATGGTATTCGTGAAGTAGCCTAAAATATTAAAAATATTAAATCATTTTATTATCAAAAATTGAAAAAAATAAATAACTCTTAAAAATCTGCAATTGATATTTATCAGCCTAAGGTACCGTGGTTTACGATTGTCCATTAATTTCTGAATTTTGTTTCAGAAATGAATGAAACCGTATCTAATCTTTGTAGTTCGTCAGTTCAATCTGACAATACATTAAATCAACTAGAAGATAAAGACAGTTGTGGGTTAAATGACCAAATCGAAGTAAATTTGTCAAACGAAAAGAAGTCTGGTCAAAGATTTAAACTTCCTTCAATATCAAGTCAGGCAGTTCAATAAAAAAAAAGGCAGCTTCAAAATCAATGTGCTCCACCATCATATAATGGAAAAGCCAATAATAAGTTAGTTAGCATTCAAAAAAATTTATCTTTAGAAACAGAATTCGATATTTGGTGCCAAAGTTTGGCCAAGTTTCTGGTCGTGACGCCTTTTATTACATTTCAGACACCTATCATCTACGTCGTCGAATAAAATATTAGTTCCGTTTGAACTGCAGGTCGTATATAATCGGTCGTGTAAATCAAGCATTCGTGAGACATGCGTAGAGTAAGTAGTATTCTCGCCCAGTTTACGACTCCGTGTGAACCCGGCTTAAGAATATAATGGACTGGTCGTGAGCAGTTTATTAGTATTCAATGGTCACAAATTAATGAAGTGTATACAAAAAACAAGTGCGGGAGAGGCGCTATGCAAAAGCAGAAAAACAGTGTACAACGCTATCTGTTGACTAAATTCCCATTACTAACTAGCTGATTTTCAAGCTAAATAAATTGTTGATGACGTCACACTGAGATTTTGAATATGAATTTCTTTTTTGGCGGTAAATAATATAATTAATACAAATGTGGTTCCAAATAAAACCACCATTAGCGTTGTCTACAGCGTTGTTGATAAGAGAGGGAAATTTTGCAGCCGTCTTTGCTGTTGTTACTTGTTTACTTATTGATAACAGGCTCGATGATAGGGACAGTGAAAACAATAATATTTATTGAGATTTAGTATTAATTTTGACTTTTGGATTGTTCTATCTGTCAATTACTTACTACCGAATACTATACATTTATAATAATTTGTATTTGTTACTACTTATTATTAGGTAGTAATAATATTATTTATTGTCAACCAAAGTCTTAACGCTGTGGCAGTGACTAACTACTGTCAAGATCGAATAGAAAATATGACGGATAAACAAGAACCGAATGGTGGCAAAGGGGCTAACATAACCGACCAAGAACGTGATTGGGCTCAACAAGCGTTAGCCGATTATGAACAGAAAAACTACAATTCGTGCTTGCAGCACTTGAATCTGCTCGGGGAGGTGAGGCCAAATGACCCCAAAGTACAACTGAATAAAGCCATTGTTGAGTACTACGAGAATGGTCTGTGCACGACTGACAAGTTTCAAAAGTCGTTTGTTGATGTCTGTAAACAGGTGATACATATACTTAGGTGCCTATAGTTTTCACTTGTCCAAGCGTAACCAATGTGTTTTATTGTTGGCCACAGGTGGAACTGAATCTAGAACAATTGGACTCGCTAGAGGATGTCGAAAACTGTATTTATTATTACAACTATGCTGTATTGCTATACCATCTGAAACACTATACCAAAGCACTGGCTGTAATCAATAAAGTCTACTCATTCATCGAATCTCTAGGTTTATCATTATTTTTTTAATAACACTACATTCAATTTATTATACATAGAATTTTGTTACAGAAGAAAGCTTGGCCCATAGAGTGTGTCTGTTGATTGTTCAATTAAACATCGATACCAAAAAACCTGCAGAAGCACTCAAATTGATTGCTTATATTGAAAGTCAGTTTGTGTCGACGGACAATGCCACCAATATATTGACAGGCAGTGCAGATCAAGGTCCCATACACACTGAAACTGATAAAACAGAAAAGGTATAGTATTATATTATTTGTACATAAATTATAATGTATTTAACAATCGTCATTTGTATTAGAACTACATTTTTTAATTCTGAAAATGTTATTAACGGAATATTATTGTATAATAATTGCATTGTTTGTTAAATTTGGTTTTACAATACATATAATATTATTTAGGTTGGTTAATTAATGTGTGCTTAAAAATTAAAAAAACATTCATATCTTTATTTAGTAATTTCAATTTTTGTAGAAAACTAATTTAGATGCAGCCACTGATGCATTTCGGGTGAGTCTTATCCAGTATCGCGTTAGGTGTTTATTGGAACTGAACGCATTCGAACAATGTAGCCAGGAACTGAATACTATCAAGGAAAATCAGGTAAACATCTACAATTATAATGGAACGTTTATTGTCAAAACAATTGGCAATCAACTGAAATTGTTAAATATAAAGTGGATTGTATTTTATTTACAATGAAATTTATGATTTCTGTACTTTTGACATGTCTATAAAATAGTTTATAGTAAACATAATTTTTTATAGGTACACTGTGTTTCAGGACTCAATAACACTGTTTTTGATGGGAAAATTAGAATATCTGCGTGGTAATTTCAATGAAGCATTGGCAATTTTAAGAGAAATTCCTACAGATGACGATTATAAGTATGTGTGGTTTTCATACTACTTAATATCAGTGAAAAAAAAGTTTTTTTTTAAAAAATGAGCTTGTTCAAGTTCAAGAAATTAAATATTAACTAATTCAAATTCTAGTTCAAATTCATCAAATTGAAATAAGTTTGAATTATAAACAGTGTTATCACTAATTGAAAATAATATCTTTGCACAGAACTATGCAGGTCAAATTTGGTTTTTTAGTAGTTTGTTATTTTTTATTAATATTCATTTGTATGATTCTAAAATTGTTACTGTTAATTATAAATATGCATGCACAGTAAAATACATTTTTTTTAAGTAGGATCCTCCTTTTTTGTAACAAAAAACTTTTTTGATTCCTTTATTTTTGAAAGCAACTTTACATTTTAGAATCCAAGCATAACGAAGGAGTTATTGGTTTTACAATGCTGTTTATTTTTTATTAGTTTGTGGACATGATTTTTTCTAGTAAACTTGCTCCGATGTATGCGTGCTTATAGCTCAAGTAGTCTAGATTGTACTTCAGAGAGATTATTTTTTGATTTCCGCTGCTATGTTTTAAATAAAAGCATTTAAATGGGAATAAACGTAGGAAAATGTATAATTACTTACAGATATTAATCAAATAACCTTGTATCCTACCTTCCTAATTTCTCACCTACAACAGTGACTGCTCCCATCCACAGTATCAGCTCTTTTTTTTACATTAGGACTGTCTAAACTAGTATGTAATTTGTAATTATTGTAAATTATGTAATTTATTAGTCACATTTTTTACCCCGATTCTATGATTTTTTTTTAAGTTTTCCTTTTAATTTATTAATTTGAAATACAGCTAACTACCTTCGGTAAGCAACGCTTGTATTGAAGGTAGAGAATTCAATGTTTCATAATATTATTTATTTATTATTTATGTACAATTAATATGATTAAATATAGATATATAAACATATAAAAATAAAACAAGATATAGATATAAACTAGAGTTTAAGTAAGTATATACATTTTTTCTGTTAAAATGTTATGAATATTAAATTTATTTTGATAATTTGTTAATATGATGTCTTTAGATAATATTTATTTCATGTTATTACATAAAATCAATTTATGGTAAATATCACAGCAACAAAATACCACCTTACCAGATGGTGTCTTTATGATATCAATTTGTAAAACGTTAACCATCATAAATATTAACCACTATTTACGATAATTATTATTTTAAACTGTGATGTTAATTATTCGATATATAAAGACTGTATCATAGAGTACTATATTTCAATATGTTAACTTGACCAATGAATGTACCTATTGCTGCTATAAATACTAGATAGAATGAATGAAAGATTACACAACCATTAATAAAAAAAATTGTATACAAGGTTTTTTTCTTTGGTAATAAAAAGTCTTTGAAAGAAATTTAAAGTTTCTTGCGTTTCTTCCTCAATGTATTATATAAATTAAACGTAATAATTATAACTATGGTCTATGAAGTTAATTTAACAATGAACTAACCAGAACCATTCAAATTCATAATAAATAAGAACTTTGTTCATGTTTAAGTTCATTTCTTGAAAATTGAACTCATTCATATTCAATTGACATTATATCAACGGCGAACGCGCTTTTTTCCCATCACAGCTTAACATAAGTAGTACATATGATTATCTTCATTTTACATTTTTTTTTTTTTTTCTAGGGAGACTGGAGAATCTACTTCAGTTTTAATAAACACTAATATAGGTTGTCTATACCATTATGCCAAAAAACCTACCTTGGCGTTTTCATCCATTTACAAAGGAATTGTTCAACACCAAAAACACATCTCGGATGTCACAAAATCAATACAAGGTAAGTATCATAATTGATAAAGTATCATTATTTCCATGAAAATCTAAATGTTTGTGTACAAACAGCACAAGGCAGTTTATCTGGTCAACCACTTCAGGTAATTGGAGCAAGCGTTAAAACTGAACTCATGTTCAATCTGGGCTTAAGTCTATTGCATGCTCGAAAGCCTGAAGAAGCGTTTGATTGTTTAATTGAAGCTGTACAGACATATCATATGAATCCTAGGCTGTGGTTGAGATTAGCGGAATGTTGTATAATGACTCATAAAAAAGTAGACAAAAACATTAGTTAAGCTTTTATAATTTTATTAATAAAATATGAACATTTTTATTTTAGAGTAATGATAGGGATTTTGATTTCAAAAAACCTTATATCGAAGGTGTTATCGGCTCTGGCAAACACAGAAAAATTATTTTAAAGTCACAATTGTTTCCAGACACTAAATACAGGTTAGTTTAGTTTATGCCATTTAGTAGCTGTATTGTTTATTTCAGAATGTTTGGCTCAGAAATCGTTTTCAACCACTTTCAGTTGTGAAGCTGTTTCTGCTTCTATTCCAATGCCAAGCCTTGAGTTTGGTTCATTATGCATTCGTAATGCTATTTTACTTCAACCAAACAGCCAAATAGACTGTTCGCCTTCTCATCCATGTAATGATGCTAATAAAGACTACCTTTTCGGTTGTATTCAATCGGCTGGAGCCTATATAGCCTTATGTCTTGGGGACCCCGTAGTGGCATTAAAATATTCGCAAGAGTTACTAAAATGTGATAAAATCAATAAGGTTCACAAGTAAGTAAATTATTTACTTGATTATTATCAAATTTTAAATGATATTACAATTCTTTACTTTTTTCATCCTATTAGATTTTTAGGACATCTGTACGCAGCCGAAGCATTAGTATTATCAGATAAACCAAATGAAGCCATAGATATGCTAAAAGAGTCTAATGCTCTGGATGACATCGAACCTGAAATACATGAACAACTTACAATTGAACAATGGAAGCCAGACAAACAGAAATCTGCCAAAGCTGTTCTTTATTATAACTTAGCAGTGGCGTTAACGCTAAGAGGCGATCTCGATAAAGCTGGAGAATTATTAAAACAAGTAAGACCAGTATTCAAGTAAAAGGTATTTCTATTATCCGTTAATTACGATTGATAGGAACTAAAGTGTTTTAATTTAAAATGTTTATTTACCATGTAATAAATTATTGTACATGGAAATATTTCTATGTACAAATAAAACTTTTCAAATCTAGTTGTTAATGATTAAAATTAAAATTAAATAAAATAAAAATCATTATTTGCATGGTTTGGTTAACTAATTATAATACTGTGGTTTCATTTACAGATATGGTTATCAAAAATAGAACATGTATCAGTTCCTGTACATGTTGTTATATTAGCCCTTTACATTCACTTACGATTAGGTAAAGACAACAAATATCAAATAAATCAACACAATTATTTGTACATTATATTTGCTAAACTTGTTACTTTGTTATAGGTCAAAAAGAAATTGCAATCACCTTAATAAAACAAAATTGTCCGCAAGCTAAGCGATAAGTTTATGTAACATAAAAAATATTGTACACATAATTATAGTTTACAATGTAAAGATAACACTAATAACATTAGGTACTTTCAAATTGTATTTATATATATGTTTGTTTTTATTCTATAATATGTAAGTATTTAATAGTACAGGTGTCGATGATAATAATAATTGAAAAATAAAATGTTTACATTAATTAAAAAAAATTTAAAAAAAAAACAACAACAACAAAATATATTTTTACTCTATCTCTCTCCTTAATCTTTCTCATTATATAATATATATTTTATATAATGTAGGTACATGTATTATTTATAATATGTTAATAAAATATTTTTTTAAAGATTTAACACTTGAATGCTTAATTTATAGTTTTAAATATACTATTTCACTAAACGTATTTCCTATACGCAACTGAATTTTACTCCTGCAAACAACATCAATGGCAAAATATTATAATCACGATGACCACTTGATTACTGTCATTTATTAACAATAGCTATGATCAACAACATTTAATAAACTAGACGTACCATCATCACTCGAAAAACAATTGTGACAATGCAACTTTTTGTTTCTGACCCGTACATCCGTGCCCATCAAGCCATCGCCGAGCTGTACACAACACACACAGCATTTAAAACACTCAATGTGATAAAATAGTTGCAAACTCTCGATAATCATGGCAGCGCCACGACCGAGTTCTACTGCACAGTGCGAACATTTTTTTTTGCCGCTAACGCTCAACATTGATTCTTGGGGTACCCCACTAATATGATCGTGCCTATGACATTCATTTAAAAAATATTCAATGTCAATAATGGAAAATAATAAATAATAATAAACACAAAAATTACCTGTGAAAATCATTAAACGACAGACGATCTTGACGATCTTGCACACGCTGTGTTAGGGTGTTGATCACAGAATCAGGTAGAGGTTTTTTGCTATGTGATGGCGGTGGTGGAGGTGGCAAAGATGGTCTGCTGCGTGAACGCGGTTGATTGGAAGCTATCGCCCCCGGTGGTACTTGACGATTACACCTATCTACAAGACGACGGTGTTCAGCTTCCTAAAAAAAAACAAATTTACAATTTGAAGTAAAAATAAAAATATAGATATTGTAAGATTTAAAACAAAATAAAGCCTTAAATTGGATTTTGTTTTTTTCACCAGTTTGTAAACATTTCAAGGTTTTTGTATGAATATAAAATTATTGAGATAAGTTATCAGAAAATGGAAAACACTGTCATAAACAATATTCTTCTTATTCATATAAAAAAAATTTGTCAATCTATCATAATTATTGAAAGAACAGGTTTTTTTCGCGTAAAACTGTTTTTCGCTTTTTTTTTTTTTTAAACTGTTGCACGCGAACAGCTTTGCATATAACTCTTAAGAATTATTTAATAAAATGAACAGAAAATATCAAAATTATCGTACAAAAAGAATTATGTACTCCTAAGTGTGTTCAACTTACTTGAATAAGCCAATGTTGATAGTTGTACTTTTCAGGCTGACCGTTGATTGGCTTTCTTTTGGCATAAACGTTCTGTTGGGCTGGCCTAGTATAACTGTTTTGAATAGCCCTAAATACAAAATATGTATTGTTATACAAGTCTAACATCAAATAATCATTATAATTATAACTTATGTATTGTTAAACAAGGCAACCCCAAAGTTTATATTATTTTCTGTTGATGGTTTTCACTGGAATATTTCATACATACTTAATCTAAAATAATGGTATTTATTTGTATTATATAAAACTCGGTGGGAAAAACTACTTGTATTACATATTTTTACTGTGCAATAAAATGGCATCTGTTTAAAAAATAATAACACCTACATTTTCGTGCAAAATTACTGAACAAATTATATATGATCCTAGATCAATGTTGCACAATGCACTATGCATGTCTGGTGTACATTTTTTTTCTTTAGTTTTTGTTACATTACCTATTTAAAATATCGTAAAAAAAAAATACCTAATAACAAAATTCGGAGTGATACGCGGCGGTCAGTAGTTATATTGTAAGTTATTTAACTCGACTGCGCGTGGCGAAGAGAATAATAAAAGTACCGTTTTCATCGTAATCATATAATTATTTAGGACGTTCGAGGGAGGCGCGGAGAGACAGTAGAATAATAAGTATATACAGGTACCTAATCCATGTGAAAACTCGCAACGAAGCGGCGCGTCAAAAACGATTAACTAACACACATATTAATATTTAACAGTCATTTTTTTTATTATTATTATTATATGAAAGTCTGGTCGGTTTACAAAACGGATGAGAACGCGTGCGTCTGATATTCGAGGGGAGAGTTTTGAGAAGGATTATTGGACCGTGCGCCGACGAAACAACGAGAGAATATTGTAGGCTAAGTAAAAACGATGGAATCAAACCGGCTTGTATCAAAACAGCCGAACATAAATAGTAAGTATAACATAATATAGCGTGAAATAGGCACACTTTAATATATTATTCGCCGGGTGCAGTATTCCCAGCGGAAAAAGGCCTTTAGAGCGATCAAGGTGGGAAGATAAAGTTCTAGAAAAAAAAAAAATCAATGAAAAACTACTAGACCCGGGAACCGTAATTGGCGGATGGCTGATGCGACGATGAACGAAAAGGTTCTGTGAGGATTGAATGGATACGTTTATCTTTATCGGGATGTTCTTAATTGGTCGTATAGGTACCACGAAAAATACGAGTGTTGTTAATGAAGATGAAGTGGCGGTCGTGCATTCGTGATAGAACTTACCAAGCGAAATCTTCGGTCTGGTGGTGTTGACTACCGCTTCCGTGGACGGGTTGCTGTAAAACAGATAAACGCGAAAAATCGTGTGAAAAACCGTTCTTCTTCAAACCAGAGATACCAGCTAGATAGGTGCGTTAACCGGAAAAGGGTGGGCACAACAAATAATAATAAGAAGCGAAACCGTACTCACTTCCAGGTTGGGCATGGACTGAGTGTGGTCGAGTGGCGGTCTGGCGTTGGTGTTCACGACGATCGCCGAGGAAATGTCCTGCATCGAGTGACGGGTGGGCGGTAACCAGTGCGCCGAACCGACGACCCGCGAACACTCTTGGTTGTTCAGGTCCTCTTCCAGCTCTTTCAGTTTCATTACCAGTTTCTCACCTGAAAACGACAACAGTGCAAACTATTATAATTTTTTTTTTTTTTTTCCCGATGGGTGTGTCATTGTTGTGGGTGGTTTATTTAATTTATATTTAACGCAACGATAAATCATTGCTATCGAAAAACGATTCTGAACGGAGTCCGATTAAGCATGTTTTGAAATGCCGCGATTTTTGAGATTTTCTCTTAAATTTGAGCTTTAAACGTTTGTAAAAAAAATAATCGTAACAACGGATATTTGTTATATTTTGTTTAGCGTCATAAGTCATAACTTATAAAAGAAAAACGTATGATGAACTATTTTATTTCAAGCAATTTTGCTTGGTCAAACAATGTTATTCATATTAAAACTAAAAAAAAAAAAACTCGAACATTTCAATATTATAAATAACTCACAATTTGCCAGTATATTTTGAAAAATGTGCCACACATAAAAAGTGTTAATATAAGTATTTTTTGAAAACAACAGGTCTCTTTGACTATTTTAAACTAAATAACAGGAACAAAAACAAAATCAAAAATAACAGTTTTACCTGGTTATTCTTAATTTTTTAGTTAAACTACGAGGAAAATCAAAATTGACTTCCCAAATGCACCAACTATATACAATTTTCTACTGAAAACCATCACCCAAAATTGATAATTTGAGCAAGATTTACTGTAGACAATTTGTTATAAAAACGATATTTTTTGTTGAATCTAAATGTAACGTGTTCGTATATTTTTAACGACCTACAAAATATTGTTAACAATTTTACTTGATCAGATTTTCATATAACGAGAGAAATGTTTGTCTCTAAGTTGGACATTTAAAAAAAAAAAAAAAAAAAAAAAAACCAATAAAAAATCTAACCATACTGGACTAGAGGATAGTGGACCATTTCCCGTATTTAAATTGTAGGCCGGTGACCCAGTGCTTATATTAAAAAGAGGAATTTTTTTTTTTTTTTTAAATTGTACCTTTATATTGGTAATAACAACACGTTTAACTAAAATTGTTCAACTAAAAAACTTGATCGAGTTATCAAATTTAGTGGTAGTTTCCATAACTAATCTTGTTTAGTTGATGCATTTATAGGAGTTCATTGTTTTCCTTGTTCCGGTTGTCACCTGTCCGAAAGTCAAATGTACAAAAGTTCACGAATACGAATAATTATCTGTTCAAATTGGTACAATATGTTTTAAATATAATATCAAAAATAATTTAAAAATCATTATTATTAATTATTATTCAAATTAGTTTAGTCGGTAGTCGAAATTGCGACTAGAATCAAAGTACATAGGATTTTATTTCATTTATAATAACTATACAGTTAAATATCTACACAACTAATTCGTGTAATTATTATTATTATTCAACCGCTTTTAAAATTATACTAAAAATATCTATACGAACACATTACTTTTCGAACAGATAATTTAATCGTTGTTCGAATATAATTTATTACTTTTCAAATACATACATTTTCGTATACGCACATTTTCGAACACCTATCTGTGTTTATAACCTGAGAACAAAAGACGGGCACCCATCTCTAGGATAGCGGAACGTATTTTATCCTGTTCGCCTCTGTGTCTAACCCGATCTACAAGATCTTTACTTGTTTATTACCTATATTGTTTTGAGCCGCTTTGTTTTTCAACTGGTTGCAGCGACTCTGCTCTTCCACCTGCAAGATATCCCTCATGTACTGACTACTCTCGTTGTCGCCACCGTCGTCCACGTACACGTTTTGCGACGGTAAGTTGACGTTCTCGTAAATCTAAACGGATCATTAATGTTAGACGTACAGAACTAAAAATCATGTTTGTGCGAGCCATGGGCATAAAAAAAAAAAAAAAAAGGCTGGTACTGAGGATGGGTACGCCACTGTTATAGGTAAGAAGTTGGGAAGGTAGAATATAGAGGAGAGTTTAATGTACGAGTATATGTGTGTATAACGATTAATCATTGCTAACGAGAAACAATTCTGAGCTGGATTTGGTTACATATGTTTTGAAAGACCGTAATATTGACGACTTGAAAATAATATATTTAGTACATTTTAAAGTTTTTCCTAAGTTTTTTCCCATTTATTATGAAAACCCCTTAGAAAATCAAAAACTGATTTCTCTAAAATACGGCTCCAGTCAAATATCCTTTCAGAAAGAGTGTTATCATTGTAAATCGGAGCAAAATTACTAGTAGAAAAGCTATCCACAAAAAAAAATCGTTATATTTTACTAATATGTTTCGTACATAATTCCCGTTTTTTTTTTCGGTTTTTCAATTAAATGAAAAAACTCCTGAAAAAATCAAAAACTTACCTCTTTAGAGTAACACCCCAAGAAATTTTCCTTTTATAAATGGGTCTACATCGTAAATATCAGAGTAAGCTTTCTGGTAGAAAATGTGTTTACATAAAAAAAAAATAATAAATAAACATCTTTGTAAAACCTATATATTCTCCGCTACACTCAGAATTTAAAATATTTTACACTTCTTAGGTAGGTACTGTGGTAATATAATCAAAGTGAAAGTAGACACTATTTTTAACTCCTCTTTTGTAATTTCCAGATTCCTGAATAACCCGTGGAATTTCAGCTAATATGATAAACATAATGAAATAATTTATGACCTTTTTTTTCTTTAACATATATAGAAATGAACCAGTCCCGTCCATCAAAACTAATACTTACTCTCATGAGTGGCGGTCAAGTGTTTTGTCATAGGGAGGATAAGGATAATTTTTACTATTATCATTTACATAATTTTTTTTACAGCTATAAAGATGAAATATAATATATATTATTATAAATATTTAAGAAAAATGAGGTAATGGGTATATATATCCTCTTCCCCCATTCGACAAGCCATGCTTACTCTGGAGGTGTCGTGTCGCTCGGGTTTATTCTGACTGTACAGTAGTTTTTCCAGTCGACGTTCTTCTTCC